ATATACTCATACTGAGAAATCTACTCATAGTGATATTATGGAGGATTATAAGCCTTTCATGTCGGAAGGATCTGTGTCACTGTCAAGTGATGATACCAATTCAAAGCCTGTTAAGATTCTTAGAGACACGGGTGCATCTCAGACTTTGTTATTAGAAGGTGTCCTTCCTTTATCTGAGGAGTCATTCACAGGTACCCATATTTTAATGCAAGGCATTGAATTAGGATTTACTAAAGTTCCCCTCCATCGTATTCATATCACATCAGAGTTAGTCAAAGGGCCAGTTATTGTTGGTGTTAGGCCACAACTTCCTGTTGAAGGAGTCGCGTTGCTTTTAGGCAATGATTTAGCTGGGGGTAAGGTATCATTAGACCCCATTGTTTCTGATCAGCCTTGTTCTATTGAGGATTCTGTCCAAGAGGACTCTGATATATATCCTGCTTGTGCTGTTACTAGGGCTATGGCTAAAAAGTTAGCTAATAGCGGGGATTCGTCTGTGGGAGATGACTTTGATAGTGGGTTTTTAAGCTCCTTGTTTGATGATGAATGTCACTCACCACTTGTTAAAGATGGTCCTTATCCTATTTTAAAGGCAAATTCTTCATTGAAACAGCCTATTGTTCAAGCCAAGCAGCGATCTAATGAGGCATATTCTTCATTGAAAAAGCCTATTGCCAGGGGTGATTCACCTTCTGAGCAGGATCACTATTTTAATGCGGTTTCGCACGCTCTTGCTAGTTCTGATGAAGTTTCATCTTCTTCTGCTAGTGTTCATGAGGTTTCATCCCCTCCTTGTTCTGAGGTTACATCCTCTTCTAGTTCTGAGGTTTCATCCTCTATTTCTGATAGTGATTCTTTGAAAAATGATCCTCATTCAAAACACATGTTAATTTATGAACAAGAGCATGATCCATCACTCATTGATCTTCATAAAAGATGTCTTACTATTGATGAAGCTGTCAAGGTCCCTGTTTGTTTCTACAAAAAGGATGGCATATTAATGCGAAAGTGGAGACCCCCTGAAGCTTCCCCTGAAGATGATTGGGCAATTGTACATCAAATTGTTGTCCCAAAATCATATCATAAGGAAATCTTGAGTCTAGCTCATGATTCTCCCATGGCAGGTCATTTAGGAGTAACTAAAACATACCATAAAATACTCAATCATTTCTATTGGCCCAAATTAAAACAAGATGTCCAAGAGTATTGTAGGTCTTGTCATACATGTCAAATGGTAGGGAAACCTAACCAGAAAATTCCAACTGCTCCTTTACACCCTATACCTGCATTCGATGAACCATTTAGTAAGGTTCTTATTGACTGTGTTGGTCCATTACCAAAAACAAAATCTGGTAATCAATATTTACTCACTATTCTTTGTATGGCCACACGGTTTCCAGAAGCGATTCCACTCAGAAATATCAAAGCCAAAAATATAGTGAAATCACTCATCAAATTTTTCACCTTAGTTGGACTGCCAAAAGATCTTCAGTCTGATCAGGGCTCAAATTTTATGTCAGGCTTATTCCAACAAGTCATGGATACCTTGGGTATCAAGCAGTGTAAGTCAAGTGCCTATCACCCAGAGTCTCAAGGAGCCCTAGAGCGTTACCATCAGACGCTTAAGACCATGATTAGAGCTTTCTGTTTTGAATATGAGAAAGACTGGGATGAGGGTATACCCTTGCTTCTGTTTGCTACCAGGGAGGCTAAGCAAGAATCATTAGGGTTCAGTCCATTTGAGCTAGTATTTGGTCATTCTGTGCGTGGTCCACTTAAATTGCTAAAAGAAAAGTGGCTGTCAGAAACTGAAAAGTTTAATTTATTGAACTATGTCACTGGGTTTAAAGAGCGCCTATCAAAGGCTTGTGAAATAGCCAAAGAAAATTTGCTCAATAGCCAAGATAAAATGAAAACTTGGTATGACAGAAAAGTCAAAGAAAGATCTTTCCAGCCGGGTGACAAAGTTCTTATATTACTGCCACTTCAGACAAATCCGCTACAAGCAAAATTCTATGGTCCTTATGTAGTGGATTCCAAGGTCAATGACCTCAATTATATTGTCAAAACTCCAGATAGGCGCAAAGAAACACAATTGTGTCACATCAATATGATGAAAAGGTACTTTGAGCCAGACAAAGAGCATGACTCAATTAAACCTGTAGTCACTTTGGCACCTGTCCTTGAAAAAGAATATGCTCTACAAGATTCAGATGATATCAATTGTACTGATTTAGACTATGAAGATATCAAAGGTTTGTCTAGGTTAAAGAACTCTGAAGTATTATCAAATTTAGATCATAAATTGCACCATGTGACAAATGATCAAAAACGGCAAGTCACAGACTTAATTCATGAGTTCACTGATATCTTCTCTGATGTACCGACTAAGACATCTATAGCTTATCATGATGTTGAAGTCCAAGATGTAACCCCTATTAAGCAACATGCTTACAGAGTAAATCCATCAAAATCAGAAGATTTGAGGGCTGAGGTCAATTATATGTTAGAAAATGACATAATTGAAAAGAGCAATAGCCCATGGAGTTCACCAGCTTTCATTGTACCAAAATCAAATGGTGGACGTAGGCTAGTAGTTAATTATATCAAAGTGAATCGAGTAACAAAGACCGATTCTTATCCCATACCACGAATTGACGACTGTATTGACAAAATTGGAACTGCTAAATATGTCAGTAAATTTGATCTCCTCAAAGGATTCCTAGGGGTTCCATTAACTGAAAGAGCAAAACAGGTATCTGCCTTTGTTACTCCTGATGGTTTGTACCAATTTAAAGTTATGCCATTTGGTATGAAAAATGCACCTGCCACATTTCAAAGAATGATGAATGGCTTATTAGCAGATCTTGAAAACACTGGTGTCTACATCGATGATGTAATTGTCTATTCCGACACTTTTGATGAACACATGTGTTTGTTGCGTAAGTTGTTTGAAAGAATCTCTTTAGCCAATTTAACTATCAATTTGGCTAAAAGTGAATTTTGTAAAGCCACAGTTGAATATCTGGGCCATGTGGTAGGTCAAGGACAGGTCAAACCAGTGAGTGCCAAAGTGGAATCAATTACACAACTCCCAGCTCCTACTAACAAGAAAGAATTAATGAGAAGTCTTGGAATGGCTGGCTTTTATAGGAAGTTTTGTCCAAATTTCTCTTCAATTGCTCTTCCATTGACCAATTTACTTGGAAAAAACATCAAATATGTGTGGTCTGAACAATGTCATACAGCCTTTGATAAAATCAAGGCCATACTAAGTGAACAACCAGTGCTTGTTGCACCTGATTTTAGCAAGCCATTCAAAATTCAAGTAGATGCTTCTGATGTAGGAATGGGGGCTGTCCTATTACAAGAAAAGGATGGTATTGATCATCCAGTGTGTTATTATTCAAAGAAATTTGATAAACATCAGAAAAACTACTCCACCATAGAAAAGGAATGTCTAGCATTACTTCTGTCATTACAACATTTTGAAGTATATGTTAGTGCACCAGTTCATGCAGTTACTGTATTTACTGATCACAATCCGCTGACATTCCTTCATAGAATGAAGAACAAGAATCGTAGATTGTTGAGGTGGAGTCTGTTATTGTCAGAGTACAATCTTGACATAAGACACATCAAAGGCAAGGATAATTTAATTGCTGACACTCTTTCAAGAGTGTAATGTCTCTATTTTTAAGAGGCTATTTGACTTATACTGCAATTGCCTAAGGCTTTGTGTTGATATAATAAAAGGATTGTACTTAGAGTGTGATTTGATAATATTATTGTAATATGTTTTTTATTGTATTTGACTATTGTAAAAAAATGTTATGTAAGTCTCAACCTCATCTTTAAAAAAATGTAACCCTCGCTACACCAGATATTATTGTAAAAGTTTCTCATTGTATTCAAAACTTTTCTTTTAAGGAGGGAGGTGTTACAGTATTATATTCTATTATATTCACATTAAGTTTAGTTTATCAATATGCATATACTGTAACTGATCTTCATTAGAGATCTTGGGTCAAGGTCACAATGACATCATACACTGTATCTTGTAAACAGAACTGAACTGAATGACTCATTAACCCTTGACCATCCAGATAGTTCTAGAAATTATAACCATTCATTAAAATTTAATCATGTGACTGGAGATGTCCAATCAAAACTCAACAAGTAGTCTCAGTTCCAGAAGATTCTTTCTAGATGATTCTTTCACACTATAAATAAAACTGCAAAGTGGACTCAGTAGCAGATAATTAAGTCATCATAACTGGACATCTCAAAGGAACTAAATAGAGCAGAATTTCAAAGTTTATCAAAAGGACATCTTCTTAGCGGAATATTATAGACACCTACTGTGGGAACATTTATAACACTACAAACATACAACCTGAGGACTTTATATGGACATATATTACAACACACACTATATACGGATTATCATATACATTCGTGGATTATCATCAAACATTATTGGATACGAACATTATAGGATTACAACAAACATTATTGGATTATTACAAACATTGGAGAACTATTAACGATTATTGAAACATTTCGTGATCTGGATCATTCTCAAGGATCGTCAACGACATTTATCGACATCAAGAATAAGCCGTACCATTGATTGGACATCACTTAAGTATTAAACCTCCTTTATATTATTGTTATATTATTTAGTTTTCAAAGTATAAATATATTGTTATCATATTTTAATTGCTGTTTTTACTTTCTGTTATTTTCGTACGTAACATAGTCCAGAAGCTAATCTATGTTTAAGTGATAAAAGGCCTTAACTGGAAATGTATCATCTTAAAGCTATATACTACACTTCATATAAAACACCCATGCCCTCGCATACAACTTGCCCATGCCCTAGCATACAACTTGCCCATACCCTATTGTACAATGTGCCCATACCCTTGAATTGAATCCCAGTGGTTTATAGTTAGCTTTGACTAGTTGCCTAATTGTTGTTTGCTTTGTATATTCAGAACACGTAGGACATTGTTTAAAACTCTGCGTGAAGAGGTCCAAGAGAAAGAACTGGCCAATGAAGATCCAACAACTGTTGTATTGAAATCCACCAAAAAAAGGTTGGCACTAGTTGTTTTTTGGCTCACACAGTGAGCCTATGGGATCGACCAGGCATCCATCCGTTGGTTGGTCCGTCCGTTGGTTGGTCCATCCGTCCGTCGTCTGTCCGTCAACATTGGCCGCACAAATTAAAACTGCTATTCGGATTGAGTCATATCCACATTCATTTTATGCATATCCATAATGCCTATTTGACCTATCATCGCCATTCCTAAGTTCACCCGGTTTCCAAGAAATTGCTGATTTTGACCTCACAAAGTCAAATTTTCTGTAAATACTAGACACTTTGTTGAAGTAGAACTTTCAAATAACTTGTAGCAGTTGCTGTATATGCAACTTGTGTTCTCTAAAGATTTCAAAGCTCTTGAAATTACAGTTTTTGGTGTTTACTCTGTAAAATTTGACAAAAAGTAGGACTTTCTCATGTATAAAGTCAATCATCATTGGCTGCACAAATTAAAACTGCTATTCGTATTGAATTATATTCACATTCATTTTATGCATATCCATAATGCCTGTTTGACCTATCATCGCCATTTCTCAAGTTCGCCTGGTTTCCGAGAAATTGCCGATTTTGACGTCCAAAAGTCAAATTGACTGACTGAACAATTGACTAGCTGAAACTGATAGGCAAATCTGACTTGAGAAACTGAGTATTGAGTAACTAAATACTCAATTTGAAAAATCAACTTTTTTTGGATGTAATTTTTGGTCACCTTAATCACAAAAGACCTACTGAACTCTGAATAAGTAAAATGTTCAAGGTCAAAGGTCCTCAAACTAGGCCACAAACTGTGCTATCTAAGTTTCTCAAAGTTCGAGACTACAAATCAAAATCAATAATTTTGTTTGAAAATCAGGATATAAATTCCTCTGAAGGTTCCAAACTGTGTGAGCACAGGACTGTGGGTCCTTTATTATAATTTGTCTGGTAGAAGTAAAGATAGTTGGATACATACAGATGTAGTACTATGTAAATGCCAGATAAACTTGCTGAATAAAATAACATTGAACAGTATAATTGACCATATTATTTATTGCCTAGCTTTGGTTATACATATATATATACAGCCTTATGTTTGTAGTATTTATTTTAATAAACATTGTGGTGTTATACATTGCACCATGTATCCAAATAGTCTAATATTTTCTTGTGTATATTTCAGATTGACTGAGGCAACAAGGCTGTTAAAGAATGTCTTCACGAGGTCAACAACCAGAGTGCCCTCCAGAGAAGACCCAACACGTACGTTCAATTTATTAAGCAACATAAACAATCACAGTTCTACATTTTTACAGGTTGAAAACATGATAAGCATAATTTGCAATCACTTTGCCCGATTGTTGAACCATTTCCATTGCTAAGAGAATAAAAAGTGTCTGGGATTGGTGATACGGCTACATGTACTATGAGTTTTGGTTGTGACATTTTGTCATGTAAATGCCCTACTAAAAGATCTGATGTACTCTTTATTTCCTTCTTGTAACACCAGGACTTTTCTTAGCAGCCAAGTAGATATACACTGTATGTCTGTATGTAGAAAGCACTTAATGAATCACTTTGAATTCCAGTTTTTGTTGTACATCAAGGATATGAATTAAATCCCCGTAAGTGTGAAAATGTGGATTTCCCATTGACATGATTGATGTAGCATGTAGGTCTGCTATATAGTGAAAAAGCTCAGGGATTAGTAAAAATATACTTTCAAAGCTCTTTCAAAGTTTTCTCTCTTTCCTCCATTTAAAGGTGTGTTAAATGAATGTATCCAATACTAGAAAGTGGTGGAAGTGTACAATTAGAACTACAATTAGAAATCAATTTTGTGTATATTCATAGTTAACCTAAGTGAAGGCATGTGGGAAGTCTTGCATCATGTCTCTGTCATGAGCCCTATCTACCCCATTCTGTTCATCTCTTGTGGGAGTGAAATATGTAGATGGGGCTAGCATGTGTTGAAATTAGAAGGCTACTAGTTTGTATTATGGTTTGTAGAGCTTTATTTTCCCTGTTTTTTTAAAGGTCTGATTATTTTATGCTCAAATATACCTGGAAAAGACTTGGAGTGTATGGACATCTTATTCCTGGAAGAGGTTGGAATAATGAGGTTTATGAATGATTTGATTTTGCTTCCTCATGGCATTCTAATTGTCAAATGCAGCATCTATCAAATTAGTCTTGCTCCAAGTTCTTGTTCTATTGTATCTCTCTCTGGGGAAAGGTGACATAAGGGAAGTGAGAGAGGCTTGGGGCAAGACTACCTTCCTCCCTCCTATAGCTGCATGTCCATGTGAAATATACTGGTAATATGTCCAGTTTTTATGTCACCACCACAAGTGGTGACATATTGTTATGGTCTCCAACGTTTTTGTGGACAGTTTGATGGTTGGTGTTTGGCAGTTGTTGCTCGGTGCTTGGCATCCGTAACAAATGGGAGGTGGTGACATTTTGCATGTTATTGCCTTGCAGCTTGTTTAGTACAATGTTAAACTTTAGATAAAATTTGGCCGTCAGAGATGTTTTCAGTATTTTAACAGTGATTTGTCTTTACCTGAAAGTGATTTTCAATTCACAGAGTTTGCTTGGCATAGTTGAGTTAGTACAAAGCATCTTAATCAGTTCTACTTGAATATTTCAGATGGATTTGCATTCTCCCAAGCTGAGTTTGGCCCAGTACATCAGGTAGGTAACCTGGCCAAGGCATCATTTTCATTGAATCTAAAACATGATTTTGGGGTCATATTAATAAATGTAAAATCAGTAAGAGAAAGGAAAGTTGAGAATTGAGGGGAAATTATCAAGGAACACAGTGAATTATCATGAAGTGAAGACAGTGTAGGAAGAGAACCACAAGCAATACTTGGAAATAAAACACATTTTATTCATGTTCTAGAAGAACAATAATTGAGTAATATATAAATTTAAATAGCCTATACTGTATATTTGTATGGATGTACTTTGCACCCTTCATATTTGTTTCAATGGTTTTGACTTTCAGAGAGAACTCATCCGAGCGTATGACACAAGCAAGCAAAAACCAGAGGGGCTATAAAGTGATATGTATGCAATTAAAGGCAGTTTGGTTATTGGAAATCAATGATAGATCTTACTAGAAAACAGGAATCTCAGCAATAGACAAGTGGATTTTACAATTCTCTTTACAGGAGATTTTAACAAATCAGTGGATGAAATATTCATGCCCATAAAAGATCAGTACTTGAACCTTGAATTGACAAGGATGTCACAATTATCAAAGGATGCAAAGAATGTTTGTTAGGAATGCTGTACAGAAATGTGTTGACAGCAAGAAAGGCTAACAATTTGGTGGTTTTGGAGAGATTGTGGAATGAAATGACATGCAATAGTATTAAAGTAAGAAGCAAGTCAGTGCTGTATGAGGCACCATATAACTCATTCTTCTTTACGCACCCTTTTTCATTACATGTGATGATTATAATATTTATATGTTGCAATATTGCATTATACAAGTATAACATTTTCTCAATTGTACAGTGAATAATCCAAGGTTCACAGACATTAAATGTCACATTATCATTGAATTTTTAATATTCATGTAGTAATGTACATTATGTCATGTTATTATACATTGTGCTTTTTTATATGTTGTAATTGTTACTAACATTCACTCTGAATGTAAATTTTCATATTATCATACACTGCATAAGTATATGAAAAGGGGCTAAATAGCCTGAACAAATGACTAAGGCCATAAGAAGTAGATATTTTGTTTTGCGTCCTGGCAAAATCCAAATCATGCAAAGGTACAAGGAAAACAAACACAAAATCAAGAAAAAACACAAACTTGTTTGCTGAGAAATATATACATTTTATGGCCATAGAAAGGAATGACATACCAATTTGTAGTGATTACAAACACATATCTATACATTTTATACATTTAGAGTAAAAATAAGAAAATACACAATGGATGCCAAAGCATCAATAACATCAAACTATCCGCCATTTCGTCTGATTCTAATTGAATGAAATGCGATGGTACTTTCAGACCCTTGTGATTGCTATTTGGATGTGTTTGTTTTTTCTGATTTACTCAAAATTGTGCAAGCAAGGGAACGTAAAACAAAGAATCTACTTCTTATGGCCTAACCTATTTAGTCAATATTTAGTATTGTAACAGTCAATATCTTGGGAATATTCATGAGTCCATTGTTTTAGGGCATATTGAATTCTAATGTCTTGGCTAGCTTGAAGTCTAGGGCCTGTGGTATAATCTTTAGCCTGAGGTCTTGGGTAGTAAAGTCTATGGTCTGGGCTATAGTCTTCAACTTTAAGTCTACTGTCTCAAATGTCTGATAATAGTCTTTAACTTCAAGTCTATGGTCTTGGTTAAAGTCTAATGCATGGTCTTTAGCTTAAAGTCTAGGGTCTGGCATACAGTCTTCAAATTGAAGTCTAAGGTTTGGAGTTGACTTTTTAACTATTGTCAGTCTGGTGTGTAGCCTTTAGCTTAAAGTCTGTTTGGATCAAACAAAGAAATACTTTTGCAGAGATGATCTATTATTTGCAGTACTTCATGATGGAAAGTGGAAACCCTTCTGCTATTTTCATCATATCTTTGTCAATTTTGAGAATTACCCCTTGATATTTGGCATATTTGTATTTCATTCAATTTTTACCGGCCTATTATATATTATGACCATTAGATTGATAGTCATAATGTTACAGCCCCGGGATTACAGCCTTCTACTGGCCACTACTGCCACACCTGCCTAGTTTTCTGCTTGAGAAAAATGCAAATTCTGCGCAGAAATTCTGCATGAAAACGTCAGATTCCTCGATATATTATGCAAGCAATAGCTTCATTTGAACTATCAGGAAATTGCAGGGAATTCAAATTTCGTGACATATTAGACGTAATCTTTAAGTGCAAAAGCCAGAAGTTGGAGGATTTTAAGCAGATTTCACATCTCTCCTTCGAAATCCTCATGACACTAGTTTTTGGTGACAATTCTCCTTTTCGCGGTTCGCTCTTTGAATCAGAACGTTCGCAAATATGCACTAAAAAAGCACTCAAAAAGGACATAAATTTTTGTCCCTAAATCTTGTCACTGATGTGGCGACTAGTCTACTGATCACGTGACCTTCTATTCCGGAATATTTTCTCACTTTTCAATCATCGTTTTCACCACGCTATGAATTAATACAATGAAAAAAATAGCTGTTTTATTAAGATTAATGAGAGATCAATCGTTTCTAATAATTTTTTCTGTACTCTCGTACAGGAATATGAACAAATATATCGTTTGAAAAATAGGTGTGAAAATCCCCATGTTAAACTATGAGGGAAAATAAGGAAGTATAAATTTGTTCCTCCGCGAACTGCATCATGGGAAATATTTTGCCCTTATAAGGAAAGATTTTCGCGTCTTCTCTTTTGAAGAGGGAACAACGATTTCGAGAATTGACTGTCTAAGGTGCCAAGGTGAGTGACAAATATGAGATGAGATGAGGTGGTTGACTGGAAAAATCATGTTTTCTGCGAAATTCCGTGCCATAAAATCAAATTCTGAAAAAATTTTAAAAACCCAAATTCTGTATTTTTTCTGTGGCTAATATTGCTATACAACTCTGCAGCTTTGCCTCAACAGCAATGTTCAAATCTACCAAATATCAGGGAGTAATTACCTAAAATGACGAAGATTAAATTGTGAACATTGTTATTCCATTAAATCCTGAATACTTTTTACCGTACCTAACAAGAGGTACGATATTGTAGTCAGCTTGACTGGCAGCGGGCGGCGTCTCACTTTCAAGACTTGTCTACAGGTTTCCAGCCAAACCATTTAGGGGATTCATCTGAAATTTTCAGGGATGTTTCTACATATCAACGTCAAGAACTGATTAGTTTTTGGGCATTCTGGGTAAATTTAAAGGTGGCCATTTTGGATTTTCTGTCCTAAAATCTTCACTTTCAAGACTTGTCTACAGGTTTTCAGCCAAACCATTTGAGGGATTCATCTGAAATTTTCAGGGATGTTTCTACATATCAACGTCAAGAACTGATTAGTTTTTGGGCATTCTGGGTAAATTTTAAGGTGGCCATTTTGGATTTTCCGTCCTAAAATCTTTACTTTCAAGACTTGTCTACAGGTTTCCAGCCAAACCATTTGAGGGATTCATCTGAAATTTTCAGGGATGTTTCTACATATCAACGTCAAGAACTGATTAGTTTTTGGGCATTCTGGGTAAATTTTAAGGTGGCCATTTTGGATTTTCCGTCTTAAAATCCTCACTTTCAAGACTTGTTACATATGTTACACAGTGATAAGTTCTAGAGCTGATTAACTTTTCTGCGGCCATCTTGCTTTCTTGGTCAACAAGACCACAATGCTGTGTTTTAGGTACGATATTGTTCACGTCTGTGCCTTGTTTCCCTTTGTGACATCAGGTCATCTGATTTAAAAGACCAAGCTAAATATACATGTCTGTGGTTAGAGATAATAAATAATATTATAGCTATTTCATTATTATGTACATGTACTAATACAATATGTCATTCTCTTACTGTATACACTTGCAACTTGTCAAATGACTGTCTCAAACTCAATGTTTATATATTATAGTATGTCATATTAAAAAGATGTACATGAATAATTTTATTTTTATTTAATTCTTGACGAAATAGGCGTTAAATTCCATATATATTTTGTTCGTATTGTTAGAAAGATGATTTTCCAACCTGTGTGTTGTTTACCATTCCATATATTTTCTCGAAAAAACTTATTAATTCATCTATTACTGATTGTATGTATTATGACGGCAAAAGGCTAACACTATAAGCACACTCTTTGCTACCTGTGTACAAAATTTTGGAGCAAGTCATTAAAGTGTAGTGTCTGAATCGTAAAAATAAGGAAACACTATGAGTTTGACCTAGGCATTTTGGTGTCCAAATTTTGAAGCTAAGTAATTTTTGAGGTCCCCTTCTTTTATAGGCTTTCATTGTTTTTAGCTGTACTCAGTCTACATCTTGTATTATAACAGTATAAGGAATGATATGGGACAAAAATTTCCTGAAAAGATAATTTGAGGAAAACCTACTATTCTACATTTCATGTCATTATATGATAAATAATGTTTCATGCAAAGAGATTCCAAACATCATCAACATCAATTGTACAGTATGTATATGTAGTGTATGTGCATGTTTTTATTGTACCTAATAAAAGGTACGATATTGTCGTCAGCTTGACGGGCAGGCGGCAGGCGGGCGGGCGGCATCTCACTTTTCAGCTTGTCTACAGGTTTCCAGCCAAGCCATTTGACAGATTCATCTGAAATTTTCAGGGATGTTTCTACGTATCAAAGTTAAGAACTGATTAGTTTTTTGGCATTCTGGGTAAAATTTAAGGTGGCCATTTTGGATTTTCCGTCCTAAAATCTTCACTTTCAAGACTTGTCTACAGGTTTCCAGCCAAACCATTTGACGGATTCATTTGAAATTTACAGGGATGTTTCTACATATCAAAGTTAACAACTGATTAGTTTTTGGGCATTCTGGGTAAATTTTAAGGTGGCCATTTTGGATTTTCCGTCCTAAAATCTTCACTTTCAAGACTTGTCTACAGGTTTCCAGCCAAACCATTTGACGGATTCATCTGAAATTTTCAGGGATGTTTCTACGTATCAAAGTTAAGAACTGATTAGTTTTTTTGCATTCTGGGTAAAATTTAAGGTGGCCATTTTGGATTTTCCGTCCTAAAATCTTCACTTTCAAGACTTGTCTACAGGTTTCCAGCCAAACCATTTGACGGATTCATTTGAAATTTACAGGGATGTTTCTACATATCAAAGTTAACAACTGATTAGTTTTTGGGCATTCTGGGTTAATTTTAAAGTGGCCATTTTGGATTTTCCGTCCTAAAATCTTCACTTTCAAGACTTGTCTACAGGTTTCCAGCCAAACCATTTGATGGATTCATCTGAAATTTTCAGGGATGTTTCTACGTATCAAAGTTAAGAACTGATTAGTTTTTGGGCATTCTGGGTAAATTTTAAGGTGGCCATTTTGGATTTTCCGTCCTAAATTCTTCACTGTCACACTGCTGTGTTTTAGGTACGATATTGTTCACGTCTGTGCCTTGTTGTTATTGTTTACATTGCATTCTAATTTGTATTTTTTCACTTTATTATTAATTTTTTATTACAGGGTATATGTATTTGATTTGAATTAAAATATGAAGTTAAAAAGGTTTTGAAGCTTACATGTACCAGTGTCAATATTATCTACTGAGGTAGATATCATGCAGGAATATATGTTGATGTGTGATGGTTATATTTCTAGATGCGTCCCTCTGCTCTATTTATTATGTCTGTATGTATGGGAAATACCTTTAATGATTATTCTTGGGTTTGTATAAAAAATTGTGTACCTCGTCCCCACGAGGGCATGATACAGTCTTTGAAGGGTTCAATATTAAGATTATCTAATCTCCGTCTTTGCTGATTTATTGTAGATGTATTAATGCACTCACATATGTCTAGCATTTGTCTCAAAAAATAAGGCCAGTATTGTTTCCCATTTCTATTTCATCCTTCATCAAAATTGTGCAATTGAAAATGCTTGTTCACTATAGAAGCAATCTACACTAAAACATGTTTATTTCCTGGGGTATTCAAAGAATTCATCATTACAGTCTTGTATTTATGGGTGTACTACTCTCCTCATCATTCAATTTGGAACCAGATAGTGAATCATCATCCACAGTTAAGCAAACAATTACACTGTCATGTGTTGGGCTGAATTTTGGACCCCTGAGACTAAAGTCATGGTTACTCATACAGTGATTAAATAAAATGAAACACAGAATTCCATTTAGCAAA